AGATTCTATGGGTATTTGCTAACACCAAAGAGTTCGCGTTTTACTTAGTCATGGTGGAATGAAGATGAACATACTGTTTTAGATGTAGAGTGAGTGAGTGAGTGAGTATGGTTTTACGCCGCTTTTAGCAATGTTCCAGCAATATCACGGCGGGGGTCACCAGAAATGGGCTTCACACATTGTACCCATGTCGGGAATCGAACCCGGGTCTTCGGCGTGACCAGCGAACGCTTTAACCACTAGGCTACCCGACCGCCCCTTTAGATGTAGAGATAGGTTACCTGTAGATTTAAGAAAGTGAATTCTTAAATAACAGTCACATTAAAAAGGCTTTCCCTGATATTCAGTGATCCATTCCTATAATTTTCACCGCTTTTTTTGCCTTTTATACATATAACTATTCAACATTTTGTTGTAGAGATAAATTTGTTAGATATGGATACAGAATGCTATCTCGTTTGTATACACGCATGTGTTTACTTTCCTGTGTTGTAGTAAATTAGAAAAATTCACATACACTACAACGGAAAATCCCTTTTACCCTTACTTTATTTCGCAAAAACTCAGAAAACAAAGATCGTTTGCGAAACTATTGTCCCTTTTATGAGAGTTTGGTTGCTCTTTCAAGCAGGAATATTCATAGTTATGTAACAAGTCTTGATCTATTAAACTGGCTCGTTCTTGTCAATTGTGCGTTCTGATGTGAGTTATGTAAACATCGACTCTGGACCAGACAAGCCATCGGTAGAGGGAGGAGTTAGTGAGACAATGGCTAGTCTGTTGATAGAGGGAGGAGTTAGTGAGACAATGGCTAGTTGATAGAGGGGGGAGTGAGTGAGGCAATGGCTAGTCTGTTGATAGAGGGAGGAGTTAGTGAGACAATGGCTAGTTGATAGAGGGGGGAGTGAGTGAGGCAATGGCTAGTCTGTTGATAGAGGGAGGAGTGAGTGAGACAATGGCTAGTTGATAGAGGGAGGAGTGAGACAAAGGCTAGTTGATAGAGGGAGGAGTGAGTGAGACAATGGCTAGTCTGTTGATAGAGGGAGGAGTGAGTGAGACAATGACTTGTCTGTTGATAGAGGGAGGAGTGAGACAAAGGCTAGTTGATCGAGGGAGGAATGAGTGAGGCAATGGCTAGTTGATAGAGGGAGGAGTTAGTGAGGCAATGGCTAGTTGATAGAGGGGGGAGTGAGTGAGGCAATGGCTAGTCTGTTGATAGAGGGAGGAGTGAGTGAAACAATGGCTAGTCTGTTGATAGAGGGAGGAGTGAGTGAGACAATGGCTAGTCTGTTGATAGAGGGAGGAGTGAGTGAGGCAATGGCTAGTTGATAGAGGGGGGAGTGAGTGAGACAATGGCTAGTTGATAGAGGGAGGAGTGAGTGAGGCAATGGCTAGTTGATAGAGGGAGGAGTTAGTGAGGCAATGGCTAGTTGATAGAGGGGGGGGTGAGTGAGGCAATGGCTAGTCTGTTGATAGAGGGAGGAGTGAGTGAGACAATGGCTAGTCTGTTGATAGAGGGAGGAGTGAGTGAGACAATGGCTAGTCTGTTGATAGAGGGAGGAGTGAGTGAGGCAATGGCTAGTTGATAGAGGGGGGAGTGAGTGAGGCAATGGCTAGTCTGTTGATAGAGGGAGGAGTGAGTGAGACAATGGCTAGTTGATAGAGGGAGGAGTGAGACAAAGGCTAGTTGATAGAGGGAGGAGTGAGTGAGACAATGGCTAGTCTGTTGATAGAGGGAGGAGTGAGTGAGACAATGACTTGTCTGTTGATAGAGGGAGGAGTGAGACAAAGGCTAGTTGATAGAGGGGGGAGTGAGTGAGACAAAAGTTAGTTGATAGAGGGGGGAGTGAGAGAGAAAAAGGCTAGTCTGTTCATACAGGGAGGAGTTAGTGAGACAAAGGCAAGTTGATAGAGGGAGAAGTGAGTGAGACAATGGCCAGTCTGTTGATATAGGGAGGACTGAGTGAGACAATGGCTAGTTGACCGAGGGGGGAGTGAGTGAGACAAAAGTTAGTTGATAGAGGGGGGAGTGAGAGAGAAAAAGGCTAGTCTGTTCATACAGGGAGGAGTTAGTGAGACAAAGGCAAGTTGATAGACGGAGAAGTGAGACGCAGAAGGGGAATATACATATTGTGGTCGACATGGATGTAGTGTAAATTATAACTTTATCTGTTCTCCGGATCTTTTTCAATTCATTGACATGTTAAACGCTGGAGATCGCATAGAGTCCGATTATTTACCATTAGAATTAACATGTAAATTCCCAAACACGAACAACCAAAATGATAAGCCAACATCTGGTTTCTTTAAAGAAAAGATTGTTTGAAATGAATCTCTTTGTGAAACGTTTTTAAACAGCCTGCATGAAAGGATGGTGTCTTATAATCAATTACTTTTCAGTTAACTGGATTTTAACATTGATGGGGCTACAGATGATTTCGTCCATGTTATCTTAGATTCTGCAGATTGTATGAGGAAAAGAACTAGAATTATGCATTATCAACATACCAAGGCCCCATTAAGTGACGAATGTAAGATTGCTAGACGGGTTGCTCGAAAAGCATTGAGAACATTTAGACGTAGACGTACTGTTTCTAAAGAGAAATCACTAAATCGTGCTGTAAGAAAAATAAATCTGACTTGTGTAAATGTAGGCTTAAAAAAATGAGTGATACTATCTATTCTCCCCCTACGTTTTGGAAACAAATACGTTCATTAAAAAAGCAGACAAATAGAAAAGTTAGTATCTCAAAGGATGAGTGGGTTATACATTTTATGCAAAAACAATTCAAATGACACTGTTTTCAACACTGACAGTGATGTGTTTGACGATATTATGTTTCCTCTTCATGTTATAATGATGTTAGCGAACTTATTTTAGAATCACCCATATCACAGGATGAAATTCTGGACTCTATTGTACATCTAAAAGGTGGAAAAGCTGCTGGTCCTGACCATATTGTGGTTGATATGATAAAATGTTCCAAATTTGAGATTATGCCTTTTCTCCAAAACTGTTTCAATAAGATGTTTGATAGTGGTATATTCCCCAGAAGCTATTCTTGTTCGGTAATTATTCCAATTCACAAGAAAGAACAGTTTAACAACCCAGACAATTATAGGGGAATATCCTTAATGAGTATTCTTGGAAAGACTTTTACATCAGTGCTTAATTCCAGGATTACGAATTGGGCTAACATGCGAGATAATATTCCAGAAACTCAAGCTGGTTTTAGAAATAAGTAATCAACTTCAGATCATATATTCACATTATATGCAATAATCAAAAAATGTCTATCTCGTCGTAAACACAAAGTGTATGTCGCCTTTGTCGATTTAAAAAAAATGCTTTTGACTCCGTTGATCGTTATAACCTATGGTACTGTTTAAAAACTACTGGCCTCCATGGGAAAATGTACTCTTTATAAAAAGGTATGTATTCAAATATCAAATCATGTGAACGATGTGGTGAGGGTGTAACCGATTTCTTTGACTGTCCGGTTGGCTTACGACAAGGATGTATTTTGAACCCGATATTGTTCTAATTTTTTATAAGTGAATTATATTATGAAATTATGGCTAGGGGTAAACATGGTATTCAATTATTCCCAAATGTAATAGAAATTTTGATGCTTCTTTTTGCCGATGATGTCATTTTAGCATCAGATTCTGTTGTTGCATTACAAAAATAACTTAACATTTTAGAATGTTACTCCAAAGAGTGGAAACTATCAGTTAACTATGATAAAACAAATATTGCCATTTTCAGAAGAGGGGGCCAGGTGTCATTGAATGAAAGATGGTTTTTCGATGGTTAATGTGTTAATGTTCTGAGCCATAATTTTATACATATCTTGGTGTAATGTTTACCCATACAAGGAACTTCAAGAAAGTGTCTCGGTCTTAACATCACGTGCAAAGAAGGCCTTAATCGATGCAATGTCTGTCTCGCAGAAAGTAGGAGATTTTACACCGAATATATTTTTTAAATTATTTGATGCCCAAATGCAGCCAATCCTGTTATATGGATCAGAAGTATGGGGATTTCAGCGATACGATTGTCTTGAAAAGCTACATCTTTTAGCCTGTAAAAAATCTTATCCGTTGGTCCATCAACACCCAATTGTATGGTCTATGGCGAGTGTGGCAGATACCCGTTATATATCAACTCCCAAATTAGATGATTGAAATACTGGTTTAATATTCTTGGAATGTATGAACGCCGAATCCCCACACTTGCTTATAATATGCTTGTACATTTAGACGACATGGGCAAAGTAACATGGGCATCACATATTAGAAACCTTTTGTTTTCTCATGGCTACGGTTTTGTATGGTTAAACCAAACAGTTTGTGATGTTAAATTCTTTCTGAAACAATTTCGTGAACAATCTATAAATATGTTTAATCTGGAATGGCATTCCACTCTAGAAAACAGTTCAAGGTATGATTTGTACAGAACGTTTAAGAGTTTTATTCAACCAGACAAATACTTATCTCCATTAACATCAATAACCCTTCGACGTCCATTTATTCAATTTAGGCTCGGATTGTCAGATCTCATGATAAATGAAGGAAGAAAAATGACCACTGAAAAGTCGAAGAGGCTGTGCCCACTATGTCATTCAGCTATAGAAAATGAAATTCATTTTACTTTTGTATGTCCTTATTATTGTGACCTAAGATGAAAGTTTATACCAGAACGCTATCTGTCAAATTATCCTGTACCTGCTTTCATTTCTCTTCTTTCTTCAAAAGATGCTGCTGTCATATTAAAACTGGCTATATATGTTAAAAATGCAATTTCCCTAAGAAACAAATTGTTAAACATGAGTATATTTCCAAATATGTAAACTACTTATTTGTAACTCTTTTGTATATGGTCCGGAGGCCTTACATGCAATAAATATCTTTCACTTTGACTTGAATGAGGCAATGGCTAGTCTGTTGATACATGCATAATATTTTGATTCAGTCAATTAAATACAGAACTAGCAATGTTTGTTTCAAAATATTTTATTGCATCTTAATATGGACCGAAGTGTAGCACTACAGCTGTAGTCTTACCATCACCTCTCTTGATACAAATACATAATTGAATATACATATTATTATAGAATCCAATTAAGTACATTGAATGTGTGAAATTCCCATTTCGATATAAAATATGCGATAAGCTGAAGACTACATGCTTCTATGCAGAATTTCCGCATCACTGTATACGTGAACTTGCTAATGCATCTACTTCTCAATCTATGTCTATCCAACCATGTATTGATTATTAAGAGCGCAGCAAATAACGGGCAACATATAACAATAGTACTCTGCTGACCAACATTTTCATTCTTGCGTATGCACACACTGCATTTTCGATTTTTTTTCAAGTTTTCATGTTGCATGAAATTTTCAAGAAATAAATGTTATATTTTCACAAAACAAGGCAGAATTTGAAAACAAAATCCATTGTGCCTTGATCTTGTATGTAGTGTTTTAGCTGATGGCTTAATTCTGTCTTCTCGGTTACGCCTAAGGTATAACACAAGTGTGATGCAAAACATCAACATTAATGTCCAAACATTTGTTGTCCATACAAGTGAGTGTAAAATACAACTTTTAAGAATAATGCCGGGCTAGTGGATATGATCGACGCACTTCGCTTGCACTGAATAGTTGCCAATATATTAAATGTAATTTAAACCAAATATCCAGAGGTTTAACAAGAGCTACATTATCTTTAATGTGAACGCTACTTAAGCTTAATTGCATTTCTGACCTTAGTTGAAGTCACCTACAAATAACGTGAACTAGAAAATTCTCATACTATCACAATGGCAAAAATTAAGCTAAATTCTCCTTCCAATATAGTTTCACGCAGATTTATGATCAATAAATTGCACATACTCAGTCTTGGAGCGCTTTCCCAAAGAAACAAAGCCTTTCATTAATAAACATTCGTGAACAGAAATGTAACTGTTGAAAAATATGCCCTCATTGTTTTAGCCTACTTGAGTGCTTTTTAAACATAATGGTTACACTGTATGCTTATTGATCTCTCCATCTTGCTATTTGTGGAACTAAACACGATATACATAACAGAGCAGAATACAACGATGAGTACTGTGTAACAAATCAGTTATTCATCTGTGAGCATAGTTCAATGTACATGCTGAGAGATCATCCTGTACCCAAGGCTGTACTTCCGGATTTGCCTGCAACCGAATCTGGAACAGACAGACAAAATCATTAGGAAATACATACAGTGATTATTATATGAGCATGTCTGTCATGCTGATTTTACGTAACGAGTCGGAATTTTCGTATTTCCCGAGCGAGAGCGAGGCTAATACATGAAATCTTACACGAGTTTCGTGAAATGAGTGTAGCTCATATGCGAGTATAATAATTTCTTTATTACCTTTATTTCTTAATTCTTTTGAGCTCCGCTTTAGAAATATGCACTGATCCCGACTGCCGTCTTAGAAAACCCACACTTGTCGAATGACGTCAACAATCTTGAGCTATGACGTCGTTTCTAGTGTGACGTTATTCCGATCGTACGTCACAATACGATTTGAAGGACGTCAACAATGTCGTCCAAATGACGTAAACAATACACTAGTGCGCGTGAAGTGATATTGGCACTAGTGCGCATGCACATGCGGTTTTTATGAACTCGGATATTTCTAACCTTATGGGTAATAAATAGAGGATATTTAAGGTGTAGAGTGAAATATCATGTTTCTCTCATCGAGTGACGGGGGAAAGGAGATATTTTTACGAGTGACATGGAATATCCTATTTGTTACATACATTTTGTGTCGTCTACTAACGGAATTTTCTTTTTCATTACAAATGTTAAACCTGGAACGTAGAGCCTCCCTACATAAAACGCAGCTACGTTTCACCACCCCTTGTAATTGCGACTTAAAACGTAGTTCCGAGTTTGCAAAATCTTAGAAAATATAAACAAAAGTCTAAAAAACTATCTAGGGTCACGAAAATGCTTTACCATACATTTGGATAATTATGATGATGTACAAAATCAAACTCAAAAACATATTCTTGAAAGCTACGAGACCGCTGTTGGAAGCGAAAGAATACACGCTGGTCAAATAACATAAATGACGCTTTGCGAAACGAACAGTCTCGATTGACGATTTAAATGAGAAATTTACAATGTATAACGAATCATTTTCGCGAGAATAACAAACGACAAGAAGCGATATTAACTCCATAAATGACCATCTGTCATTTTCTTTTCCTTTTCAATGTGGAACTAATGTAAAAAGGACGTCAACAGTTTGTGTACGGGCTAAACACTTCCGATGAAGGGAGACAATTTCAGGGGAGATAACTCTTGTATGGCAATATTTCTGTCAAAGTGTTATGTTCACTGCAGTGAAATAGCTCGTCGTAAGTTCACTGCAATGAAATATCAAGTGGTATGTACACTGCATTGAAAATATCACTTTTTTCTACTTCAGAAAACTCGGGCCTTCACACTGAAGTACACACGGAGGTCACACCATAGGGCTGGTGTAAACAGTAGGGGTGTAGCGAGTAGGTTGAATGAGGTTACTTTGAACAGTATTCCGGGGCGTTGTGGTTAAATCGTTCACTCGGCACGCCGAAGACCCGGGTTCAATTCCCCATATGGGTACAATGTGTGAAACCCATTTCTGGTGTCCCCCGCCCTGATATTATTGGAATTTGCTCACTCACATTGAACGGTATTCCAGTTATATCACAGCGTGCCGGCTTGTGGGGGGAAAGCAGGTCTTGGACGTTTACCGCTTTGGTGAAAGCTTGATCCAGCTTGTTCCGAGTGTATAACACATCCCCAGTACTGCTCCAGAACTACATAAACACACTCAATTTCTTGGCAATTTCTGAGAATGTTTGCATCTATTGCACTGGATGGATATTTAAGTTCTATATGTTGGCCAGGTTGTAGGCCACTTTGGTTAACCCAAATAGCACGGGGGATATAGGGTTTGCACACAGAGAAACGTGATCAAGGCGAACCTAAGACAAGAACGTCCTGACACTTCCAGGGGACGCCACTCTCCACAACGAAATTAATGCTTTCATTTGCATGTGATGTTGTTACCATAGTTGCGTGGGACAACCACTCACACTGCCGCTACAACCTGTAGTTGTTACACTCACCTAGGGCTCCACTTTCAAGGCGTTGAGAGCAGCCTGCAGGCGCCGGCCGAACTCGGGGTCCGCCTTGCCAAAGTTGGCGACAGCACGCTTCTGGATGAACTCCTGGGCGTTGATGATATGTCCCGCCAGGTTGTTGATCAGATGGTCCCGCTCACCCGGCGGCAGGACCTGGATCATTTAGACACAATAGATGGTCAAATCGAAAACGTCAACGCCAGAGAATAATGAGTCTCTAATATCTGCCGGGACAGGTTCCATGGGGCGTAAAAGGCAAAATAGTGATGAAAATTATATGAATGGATTATTGAAAATATGTAATGACATTAGTCGTTCGCGAAAAGTGGAAGCATGTCCTGCTCTTTCTCTACCCTGGTCCAAGATACAGCATCAAGGTAGCCCTATACTAGAGTCGTTACCCCATTCACACCCTGATACACAAGCTTTTCATCCCATTCCCACCCGGGTACACAGTAGCGTTACCTACTCAACCCTTGGGTACTCTAGACCTTTATCCCATTCACACCCGGGTGCACTAGAACGTTACCCCATTCCCACCAGGGTACACTATAGCTTTACCTCATTCACACCCGGGTGCACTAGAACGTTACCCCATTGACACCCGGGTACATTATAACTTTACTCCATTCACACACGGGTACACTAGAACGTTACCCCATTGACACCCGGGTACATTATAACTTTACTCCATTCACACACGGGTACACTAGAACTTTACTCCATTCACACACGGGTACACTAGAACTTTACTCCATTCACACACGGGTACACTAGAACTTTACCCCATTCACACACGGGTACACTAGATCTTTACCCCATTTCACACGCGGGGACACTTGAACTTTACCCCATTCACAGCCGGGTACACTAGAACTTTACCCCATTTACACTCGGGTACACTAGAACTTTACCCCATTCACAGCCGGGTACACTAGAACTTTACCCCATTTCACACGCGGGGACACTTGAACTTTACCCCATTCACAGCCGGGTACACTAGAACTTTACGCCATTCACACTCGGGTACACTAGAACTTACCCCATTCACAGCCGGGTACACTAGAACTTTACCCCATTCAAACACGAGTACACTAGAACTTTACCCCACAGACACTATCATTGATTGTGTGATTCTGAGCATTTACCTTCTTCCAGAAGATGCCGACTTGGCTGAAGTTGTCATCATCCGCAGTGCTGTATCTGGCGACGTCTCCAGTGAGCTTGAAAGAGCACTCCATGCACTTGGGGTCCTCTTGGGGGCCGGAGAAGCTGTTGGGGAAATAATTAGGAGCGCCAGCTGGTGGGAAAGAGAGTCAAGAATCCAAAATAAGTCATGTAATTTGATGTAGGTCATGTTCTAAATGACTGAGAAGGACACTATTATAGTTTGTCAATTATGCCATATAGATCACGTCACAACACCATCACCGTCATGCAGATGTGGTTCGTATAAAATTGTATCTTGAACACGTTGTTCAGCGTTCATTCGCAACACCCTAGTCCCAGGTTCGATTCCCGACATTTGTAACGTGTGAAGCCCAGTATTGGATTTCTTGCCGTCTCACGTCCTGGACTACTTCTAGAAGCGGTGTCAAATCATACTCACTCATCCGTAGCTATGTTACCTATATATGAGACAGTGGGGACCCCAGCACCCCAATGGTAGTCGACAGAAGCGACTACATTGGGAACCAGTAGGGTTGGAAATGTTCTCTAGCAACAAACGCTGGGATAGGAGACGGGTGGTCAGGGTGACATGGTTGATTGTGTGAAGGTGACCCGAAAGTGTTGATTGTTACGCATAATATCAATGACTGGATTGTCTGATCAAGCTTGTTTATGTACAGGCCGCTGTCAAATGGATATTGAATGTACAGCATTAAATAACACTCAAACACTCACTCACTCACCCACTAACTCACTTAAACAGCCACCAACAATTCTAACAACCCACCCACCCTCACTCACTCACTCGCTCACGCATGTCTCCCTAACCTTGGTTGTTGTCCACGCACTGAGGGCCGTCTCTCTGGTAGTTGCTGAGGCGGGTGTTGTAGGGGCAGTTGACGGGAAGTTGCAGGTAGTTGCTGCCGAGACGATGCCGGTGGGTGTCCGAGTACGAATAGAGGCGGCCCTGAAAACGTAACAAACAGGAATGTTTCAAACATCTTTCTCTGATTCACTGGACCCGTGAAGATCCGGGGTAGAATAGGTCTTCAGCAACCCGTGCTTGCCGTAAAAAGGCAACTATGCTTGTCGTAAAAGGCGGCTAACGGGATCGGGTGGTCAGGCTCGCTGACTTGGTTTATACATGTCATCGGTCCCAATTGCGTGGATCGATGCTCATGATATTTATCACTGGATTGTCTGGTCCAGACTCGATTATTTACAGACCGCCGTCATATAGCTGGAATATTGCCGAGTGCGGCGTTAAACAACAAACCAACCAATCTGATTCACTGGTCAGCCACGGCTACCGGAACACCTGTTAACCTCAATAATGCTTACACCAATGAATACTTCACATACAATTTCTGATTGGTTTTTATTCATATCTGATATTTTACTGTGAGAAATCAATATTAAAAGAATAATCGATTCATTTTTCTCGTCCAGCTAAGTATTGTGTGTGCTGTGTGAGATCTAAACTTATATTTTATTATCAAAACTTAAAGTAATAGCATGACGTATACAATCGTCAAGGGAGTGTTGTTTATTGTCATCGATCATATCTATTTTTGTAGCATAATTAACTGGTTATGTATATGTCAGTATATGAACTACACAATTACCTGGCCGGCCTGACCACATCTAACACGTCAGTATATGAACGACACAATTACCTGGCCGGCCTGACCACATGTAACACGTCAGTATATGAACGACACAATTACCTGGCCGGCCTGACCACATGTAACACGTCAGTATATGAACGACACAATTACCTGGCCGGCCTGACCACATGTAACACGTCAGTATATGAACGACACAATTACCTGGCCGGCCTGACCACATGTAACACGTCAGTATATGAACGACACAATTACCTGGCCGGCCTGACCACGTGTAACACGTCAGTAAATGAACGACACAATTACCCGGCTGATTCAACTCACCTGCAGCATCTTGTCGGGGCTGGCCTCAATACCTGTCACCATATGCGCCGGGGAGAAGGCGATCTGCTCCACATCAGCAAAGTAGTTCTTGGGGTTCTTGTCAAGTACCATGCGACCAACTGGGATGAGGGGGTATTCTGCATGGGGCCATACCTGCAACAGTCAACAACAAACGTCAACTGTCTGGTCATATCGAGGGCCATGCGACCAACAGGGGTGAGGGGGTATTCTGCATGGGGCCACACCTACAACAGTCAACAACAAACGTCAACTGTCTGGTCATATCGAGGGCCATGCGACCAACAGGGGTGAGGGGGTATTCTGCATGGGGCCACACCTACAACAGTCAACAACAAACGTCAACTGTCTGGTCATATCGAGGGCCATGCGACCAACAGGGATTAGGGGGTATATTCTGCATGGGGCCACACCCACAACAGTCAACAACAAACGTCAACTGTCTGGTCATATCGAGGGCCATGCGACCAACAGGGGTGAGGGGGTATTCTGCATGGGGCCATACCTACAACAGTCAACAACAAACGTCAACTGTCTGGTCATATCGAGGGCCATGCGACCAACAGGGATGAGGGGGTATTCTGCATGGGGCCACACCTACAACAGTCAACAACAAACGTCAACTGTCTGGTCATATCGAGGGCCATGCTACCAACAGGGATGAGGGGGTATTCTGCATGGGACCACACCTACAACAGTCAACAACAAACGTCAACTGTCTGGTCATATCGAGGGCCATGCGACCAACAGGGATGAGGGGTTATTCTGCATGGGGCCACACCTACAACAGTCAACAACAAACGTCAACTGTCTGGTCATATCGAGGGCCATGCGACCAACAGGGATGAGGGGTTATTCTGCATGGGGCCACACCTACAACAGTCAACAACAAACGTCAACTGTCTGGTCATATCGAGGGCCATGCGACCAACAGGGATGAGGGGTTATTCTGCATGGGGCCACACCTACAACAGTCAACAACAAACGTCAACTGTCTGGTCATATCGAGGGCCATGCGACCAACAGGGATGAGGGGTTATTCTGCATGGGGCCACACCTACAACAGTCAACAACAAACGTCAACTGTCTGGTCATATCGAGGGCCATGCGACCAACAGGGATGAGGGGTTATTCTGCATGGGGCCACACCTACAACAGTCAACAACAAACGTCAACTGTCTGGTCATATCGAGGGCCATGCGACCAACAGGGATGAGGGGGTATTCTGCATGGGGCCACACCTACAACAGTCAACAACAAACGTCAACTGTCTGGTCATATCGAGGGCCATGCGACCAACAGGGATGAGGGGGTATTCTGCATGGGGCCACACCTACAACAGTCAACAACAAACGTCAACTGTCTGGTCATATCGAGGGCCATGTGAACTATGGGGATTACTATTAAGGATGATGACAAACCATGGTTGGCAATGGCGGGCACTATGTGGTCAAATTATGGGAAATATGAGGTCAACGGATGTCGTACCATGGTTAGGTCATGTCGGGAAATATGATGTCAAAAGAAGGCATGCCATGTCAAGGTCATGTCGGGAAATATGATGTCATAGGATGTCATACCATGGTTAGATCATGTCGGGAAATATGATTACAAAGGAAGGCATGCCATGTCTAGGTCATGTCGGGAAATATGATGTCAAAGGATGTCATGCCATGTCTAGGTCATGTCGGGAAATATGATGTTAAAGGATGTCATACCATGGTTAGATCAAGTCGGGAAATATGATGTCCAAGGAAGGCATGCCATGTCTAGGTCATGTCGGGAAATATGATGTCAAAGGATGTCATGCCATGTCTAGGTCATGTCGGGAAATATGATGTTAAAGGATGTCATACCGTGGTTAGGTCATGACGAGAAATATGATGTCAAAGGCTGTCATACCATGGTTAGAGCATGACGAGAAATAGGTCAAAAGAAGGCATACATTAGTGAGGTAAAAGAAGTGTTACAATTTTAAAAGGTTCCTGGGTTTGTTGTTATGTTATTATAAAAAAGGGGTCCCTTAAATCCGTAACGTTTGACATCGAGGTGATGACAAAGACACATTGACATTATATATAAGGTCAAGGTCTCCTTGATGAAGTAATGAAAAGATGCGTGATGACGGTGGGTTCCCTACCTTGGTGAGGTCGAAAGGGTTCCACTTGAGCCTCTCAGCATCCTTGAAGTTCATCACTTGTATGAAGACAGACCAGGATGGGTACTTGCCCCCGGCGATGGCGTTGTACAGATCACGTGTGGCGTAGTCGGGGTCATCGCTGGCCAGCTTGTCAGCCTGGGCTCCTGTAAAGTTCTTGATGCCTTGGTTTGTCTGTTGACATGCGGTAGGATGAGTGAGGGAGTAAGATAATGGTGAGGCCGCCACAAGGAATATCGTATATTTAGACTAACTATTTACAAGACAAGTTTTTCGTGATATGAAGAACGACCGTAATTGACGGCGAAAAGTGACGTCACACTATCAAGCTGTTCACGGGAAGGGGTTCTGTGGTTTTAACCCAACCATGTTCTGTTCACACTGAGTGTCATCCTGCTTCCAAACCCATACAACATTTATGGCACAATGCACAATGCACAACTTGTGTTAATATATATGAAAGAATTTTAAAACTCATACAAACTTACTAATACACAATAAATCCTGGCCGATTTCTGTTTTATGGACCGCCTCCGTGGTCTAGTGGTAGAGCGTCTGCCCGGAAAGCGGAAGGTCCGGGGTTCGATCCCCGACCGTGTCATACCAAAAGACGCTAACAAATGGTACTTTTTGTAACCCTGCCTGGCTGGTCGGCTTGCAGTCAGAATATTCATGTTAAACTGCGGCATGGTATCTCAGTGGGCTAGCACCTTTAAATCGTCGGCATTAGCCCGGACTAATACAATCACACACACACGCACGCACGCACGCACGCACGCACGCACGCACACACACACACACACACACACACACACAAACACATGCATGCATGCATGCACGTCGTATAAGTGCAATCATCTTCAACGCGACGTTAAACCCCATTTTGCCTCAGCTGTTTCTATGCCTACAAATGTAAATAAAGCGATAAAACCTTTTGCATATCCAATAGCAATATCGATAGTACGATTCCGACTATATCATGAGCATGTGTTTATTAATCACTATCAAATTGTGATGATACCAGGTGTTCGCGACAAAATCTATGCAAAAGAGATGTGCAATTTCAGCTGCCCTTCTACGACCAGTTGAAGTAATTACGAGTCGGGGAGAGTGAATATTGTTTAACACCGCGGTCCATAATACTCCAGTTGCATCACTGTGATCTGGCAGCAGTCGAGACTTAGACGAGAGAACCCAGTTATTGAAGACACAAATGATGACCCAAGCAACAAAGGAAGGATGACACGCCAGTCGCCTGAGGTACAAGGGACCTATCCTTCCCCGGGGTCTCCATGGATAGCGTTTGCTTGTTGTTTAACGCCGCACCCAGCAATATTCAAGCTATATGCTGCGGAATGTAAATAATCAGCCACACAATCCAGTGATTGACATCATGAGCATAGATCTACGCTACTGGGATACGATGACATGCATCAATCAAGTCATCTGATCACCCGATCCGTTAGTCACCTCACACAAGCATGGGGTGTTCAAGGCCATTTCTAACCCGGGTCATCACTGGGGTACGTACGTAAATACAATTTTCAGAAGTAAGCTTACCTTGAAGTGAAACTTGCAGTACACACTCTCCCCCTTGGCGTTGACCATCTTGAAAGTGTGGCTGCCGTAGCCGTTCATGTGACGATAACCATCTGGGGTCCCGCGGTTCGAAAAGAGGAAGGACACCTGGTGGGTGGTCTCAGGACGCAGCGTGATGAAGTCCCAGAACATATCGGGGTCCTGTGGACAATCTACCTCACTCAAACACCGAATATCTATACCACACACTTTTGTATAGGTTTACTGAAAAAATTCAAATTATTTACATCTGTGTGCCGGGGAAGAACCCTTTGAAATCCATTAGCGTATAGGTAAATGCAAGCAATTAGCTACCCTTTATCCGCGTCTAACCTTCTCAACACTCGTCTTTTGTTTACTTGCCCACATACCAGTAACAGTAATATACATCATTAGTAAAAAAAGTTCCTGTACAGTAAGACAAAGTTGCATTACGCGAAACAAATGTATGGCTACCCTATGACAATTAGGAAGTCCAAGGTAAAATACCGGAGGCCACCCTTCAGAACATGCCTAGCAACTACCTTCAGGCGTCACAGAGCGTCACAGAGCGTCATACCTTCAGGTTCGTAACGGGGTTTCTCTTCTGGGTGTGGATGAAGCTAGGGAACTGGAATTAAGAAACGATTAAATTCCAAAAACAATTATAGATGTTTGTAGGCATTTAGAAGTCGGATGTAATCATATTCATGACAACGTCGGGATTGTTCTGGTGTTTATTTACACAAGTTCTGATGTAGTTCTACTAGTGACCTATTGTTGATCAACTGTTTTACTACTGTTGGTGGAGCACCGGTGGCCCAGTCGTCTAAGGCGCCGAGATTCGCTGTGCGGAGTTGCCTCCCTTGGGCACGCCAGAAACCTATGATTGTGGGTTCGAATCCCGGTTCGCCCCGATTATGTTTCTAGGTTTGTCAGCACCATACCCGTGCTCGTGGGTTTCACCGAAGTGGTAAACATCTGAGACCTGCATCACTTCGGGTTTTCCTCCCACATTAAGCTGATACGCCGCGATATGACTGTCATACTGTTAATAGCGGCGTTAAAACCTACACACTCACTACTACTGTTGAAATATTGTTCTACTAGAGGTCTACCGTTGTCTACAACATTCTTCTTTTGTTCTACTTACGCCTTGATACATTTCTTTTGTTGTGGTCTGTTCTTCTAATACAGTTCCACTATTGTTCTACTGTAGTTTATACTACACTGTCTATACAATTGTTGGACCATTATTCTACTTCAGTTCACTATTCTTGTAGAAGTTATAGTTATAGCATTGTTCTTCTACTCACCAGCATAGGGTCCCTTATGAAGAAGATGGGAGTGTTATTGCCCACCAGGTCCCAGTTGCCGTCATCAGTGTAGAACTTAATGGCGAACCCCCGGGGGTCCCTGGCCGTGTCCGCCGACCCCTTCTCTCCACCTATAAGTCGTCAGTGAAGGAATATGTCGGGGAAAGTTCTTTCGTAAAGGACGATTGTTTCATACTTATCGTAACATCATGAATACATACTACCATTACTACACACCATCATGAATACACATTATCATTTCTACACACCATCATGAATACGCACTACCATAACTAGACACCACCATGAATACACACTACCATTTCTACACACCATCATGAATACGCACTATCATAACTAGACACCACCATGAATACATACTACCATTACTACACACCATCATGAATACCTACTGCTATAACTAGACACCACCATGAATACACACTACCATTTCTACACACCATCATGAATACGCACTACCATAACTAGACACCACCATGAATACACACTACCATTTCTACACACCATCATGAATACGCACTATCATAACTAGACACCACCATGAATACATACTACCATTACTACATACCATCATGAATACACACTATCATAACTAGACATCACCATGAATACATACTACCATTACAACACACCATCATGAATAAACACTACCATTACTACACACCATCATGAATACATACTACCATTACTGCACACCATCATGAATACATACTACCATTACTACACACCACCATGAATACATACTACCATTACAACACACCATCATGAATACACACTACCATTACTACACACGATCATGAATACACACTACCATTACTACACATCATCATGAATACACACTACCATTACTACACACCATCATGAATACATGCTACCATTACTACACACCATCATGAATACACACTACCATTACTACACACGATCATGAATACACACTACCATTACTACACACCATCATGAATACACACTACCATTACTATACACCATCATGAATACATACTACCATAACTACACACCATCATGAATACCTACTGCCATAACTAGACACCATCATGAATACATACTACCATTACTACATACCATCATGAATACACACTACCATTACTACACACCACCATGAATACATACTACCATTACTACATACCATCATGAATACACACTACCATTACTACACACCACCATGAATACACACTACCATTACTACACACTATCATGAATACATACTACCATAACTACACACGATCATGAATACACACTACCATTACTACACACCATCATGAATACATACTACCATTACTACACACGATCATGAATACATACTACCATTACTACACATCATCATGAATACACACTACCATTACTACACACCATCATGAATACATGCTACCATTACTACACACCATCATGAATACACACTCACTATTACTACACATCATCATGAATACACACTACATGAATACATGCACTATCATGAATACACACATCATGAATACACACATGAATGCACACTATCATGAATACACACATCATGACTGCACACGCTGATGAATGCACACTATCATGAATACACAAGTTTAAGAATATGTACTCTCATGAGTGCACACTATCATGAATACACACTATCATGAATATACACATATATGAATATGTACTCTTATGAAGGCACACTATCATGAATACACAGGTTTTTGAATATGTACTCTCATGAGTGCACACTACCATGAATACACACTATCATGAATATACACATATATGAATATGTACTCTCATGAATGTACACTATCATGAATACACACGTTTATGAATATGCACTCTCATGAATACACACTATCATGAATATGCACTCTCATGAATGCACACTATCATGAATACACACGTTTATAAATATGCACTCTCATGAATGCACACTATCATGAATACACACATTCATGAGTATGCACTCTCATGAATGTACACTCTCATGAATACTCACTTTTATGGATATGCACTCTCATGAATACACACTATCATGAATATGCACTCTCATGAATGCACACTAGCATGAATACACACTATCATGTATACACACATCATGAATACACACTTTATGGGTATGCACTCTCATGAATGTACACTCTCATGAATACACACTATCATGAATACACACTATCATGAATACACACATCATGAATACACACTATCATGAATATGCACTCTCATGAACGCACACAATCATGAATACACACTATCATGAATACACACTATCATGAATATGCACTCTCATGAATACACACTATCATGAATACACACTATCATGAATACACAGATCATGAATACACACTATCATGAATATGCACTCTCATGAACGCACACTATCATGAATACACACTATCATGAATACACACTATCATGAATGCACATTATCATGAATACACACTATCATGAATATGCATTCTCATGAATGCACACTATCACGAATACACACATTCATGAGTATGCACTCTCATGAATACACATTATCATGAATATGCACTCTCATGAATGCACACTATCATGAATACACACTATCATGAATATGCACTCTCATGAATACACATTATCATAAATATGCACTCTCATGAATGCACACTATCATGAATACACACTATCATGAATACACACTCATGTATACACACACCATGAATACACACGTTTATGGGTATGCACTGTCATGAATGTACACTCTCATGAATACACTCTATCATGAATACACACTATCATGAATACACACTATCATGAATACACACATTCATGAGTATGCACTCTCATGAATGTACACTCTCATGAATACACACGTTTATGGATATGCACTCTTATGAATACACACTATCATGAAGACACTATCATGAATACACACTATCATGAATATGCACTCTCATGAATGCACACTATCATGAATACACACTATCATGAATACACACTATCATGTATACACACTATCATGAATACACACGTTTATGGGTATGCACTCTCATGAATGTACACTCTCATGAATACACACTATCATGAATACACACTATCATGAATACACACATCATAAATACACACTATCATGAATACACACTATCATGAATACACACTATCATGAATATGCACTCTCATGAACGCACACTCTCATGAATACACACTATCATGAATACACACATTATGAATACATACTACCATGAATACACACTATCATGAATACACACATCATGAATACACACTATCATGAATATGCACTCTCATGAACGCACACTCTCATGAATACACACATCATGAATACACACATCATGAATACATACTATCATGAATACACACATCATGAATAGACACTATCAAGAATACACACTATCATGAATACACACTATCATGAATACATACTATCATGAATATACACATCATGAATACACACTATCATGAATATACACATCATGAATACACACTATCATGAATACACACATCATGAATACACACTATCATGAATACACTATCATGAATACACACATCATAAATGAACATGAAACATACATAAAATGAAGAAAGACAATGATGCTGTAGCTCTACAATGCAACTTAAAGACAAGACACAGGGAAAAAAATTAAGGGGTTGTGGAGGATACGGTCAGCCTTCTTAGATTTCAAATTTACTACTTCTAATTTACGTACTATCGTTTTTTTGGTATATTATTCATATTATATGCTATGCCCTGAAACTACAATCACTCACACACTCACTCACTCTCTCATTGAATCACAAGCTACTGATTCTGTTTTTTAGTTCTGCAGTAGAAAATGTTAATCAGTATTCACCGCGTGCAGTGAGAAGTGCAGAGCTTGCCTTCACAGATATTAAAGTCACGAGTGCAACGACGAATTTCCTGACCTCCCGTCGGCCATTCTTGCAACTTCACGCCCTTGAATAAATATACGTGACTGTAATCAGGGACAGTGTGTGCAAGCAGCCTGTTATTAATACCCCTGTTATGTAGGTGGCCTTGAAGCGGGTACACGGGTTGTCGCGACACGGAAACACCGGAGACAAAAACGACACTGCACCCGTCTATTTACTTTACCAGACAGTCACTTGACATGCTTACCTACAGTTGAAAACCTGATCGCAAGTGGCGTCTTCTTGCCAACACGTTCAAATACCTTTGCTTTACAATACTTGGTGATGTCGTGTGTTATTTCCAAGTAGCCGAACGCCCCTGCAATGATATCAAACAAAAAACTAATTAGAACAAGTCTCAAAAAATATATTCCTCATAATGATCAGAATTGGTCAGATGCGTTTGTTCAACATAAATATTTTATTATCATGATTATTTAAAAAAAAATACACTTTGAATTAATTACTTTTTAAAATAAATACATTAATGTGTGTATTCTTATAAAAAAAAACAAATTAAATTCATTGTTGTGTCACAGTTGCGTCCCTCAGAGTTGATCTGATTATGATCCTTGGTCAGTCGCTACAATACCCCTGTTCGAGAGTTTCAGCACTGGTAGGCGTGTATGACAGGGGTCACTTTAGGATCTCATCCCACTCCGCTGCCATGTTACAACTGAAACACTGTTCAAAGTGGCGCAAACCCAACTCACTCACTCACTCACTCACTCACTCACTCACTCACTCACTCATCCAAGCAAGCACTCACTCACTCACTCACCGAAGCACTCACCGAAGCACTCACTCACTCACCGAAGCACTCACCGAAGCACTCACTCACTCACCGAAGCACTCACCGACGCACTCACTCACTCACTCACTCACTCACTCACCCAAACACCAACCCGCCCGCCCGCCCGCACGCACGCCAACTCACTCACTCACTCACTCACTCACTCACTCACCCACCCACCCACACACCCACCCACTCACTCACTCACTCACTCACTCACTCACTCACTCACTCACTCACTCACTCACTCACCCACTCACTCAGCAAGTACCTGCTCCTTTAGCATGCACGACTCTCTCAGGGATCCTCTCTCTGTTGAAATGCGCCATCTCGTCCGTGAACACGAAGTCCTGCAACAACACAGGCCCCTGTGGTCCCACAGTCATGGTGGCTGTCTTACGGCCCACAGGTGCACCTGTGCCTGTTGTGAGGACATCCGGTTTCTACAAAAGAGCACGGTGTATATAGGATATGAAAGTACAGATGCATATACGCTAGATGATCCGCGGTTTAAAAGGATCCAATTCACGAACATTTGTATATATTTTAATAATTGCGGTAGGTGAGGTAGGTGAACATTCCTCCAAACTAAAGAAAGATATGACTAGTTCATAACGAACAGGTTTCACTCAAAACACGACAGGGGTGAGTGAAAATGGTTTCATGCCGTTTTGGCAATACTCTGGCAACATAACGGCAGGGGACACCAGAAATGAGCTTCACACATTGAGCATATGTGGGGAACGAACCCAGGCCTACGACGTAACGAGCAAACACTTTAACCACTAGGCTACCACACAGCCCACATACGACAGGAATATAATAGGGGACATTTATCGTGATGACCAACCGACGACTAGATGATGAAACCCTTCTGTTATTCATTGTTAATATTACATATCCGACTATATGTTTGTAACCACGACTACACAGTACCTTTTTGATGGGAAACACATTCCCCTTCAAAATCTTTGAATTGTGAATAATTTTACCTGTATTGACTTGTGATAACTATTATTCATTACAAAGAATATGTCAGTCAACAAATGTAAATGTCGTGTTAAACTTTGCAAGGTTCCTGAATTGTTTCTTCACAGGAAGATAAAGCACCTGTTTATCTTCCCTTAAGAAATAACTCTCTGTAAAATGGTACTTGTAAACCTTTTTGTACTATGGGCCTGATGGCCTTCATGCAAATAAAACTGTCTGTTTGTCTGTATTGACTTGTGTCCAAGACATCTTCCCGAGGCAAGGGCGTTTACTGACTATGACAGTCCAGTTTTCACCCTTGCCGAACTAGGTTGGACTTCAGCAGAGACATTTTGTCTGGACTAACGAGCCTATGCATAGTCCAATCGAAACGCCCAGCGAACTAGACATCCGGTTCGTTAACAACTTGCAGATTTCGGTCGACTGCAGGATTTGCAAGGGATGTGTACCGTCAACTGGGCGTCGACAGATATTTTGCAAATCTTATCATGTTTTTAATCAAGGTGCTCAAGTGATTTGATGCACTTCGCGAAGTACGTCCCGTTTTATTACAATAAAGATTTTGACTATCGATGAGATTGTATTGACTAGGCGCCGCCGTTTTGTTTGAAGGAAATGCAAGAGATATGAGAGATGGAATCTGATTGGTCAACTGGATTGACATAAAAGGGACATAGATCGTAATAGCCACTTGTGGCGCTACGATGGAGTCAGGAACCTCCAGCCTAGTTCGAATTCGGGCCATAAATAGTGCATACATTTCCAAGTTTTTATTAGAAACCTTGATTGACCAATCACAAATATTCTCTAAGCTCATAACATAATTATTACACATAGTTATATTTAAGAAATAAACGACTCTCGGTCGTTGTTTAGCATACAATAAAACACCGCAAGGAGAACAAACCATGCCTGAATAGAATCCGACCTCGGCAATGTCGGACAAGTTAAGAGGGGTGTAAATTTCATATCTCTCCCATATCTGGATGCGATCCATTGCGTTTATCTACGTTGCCCAACTACATCTATGAGAAACAATTCACTAGACACTTCTCTCTCGTCGTCCAATTTACGACGTCATAAAGTCGAATCTCCAATGACGTCATGATAGAACAATGTTTTATCGTGAAATAAACCACGCCCCGTTCTTAATATTCTCTGCGATTTATCGCGATAAATCGCAAAGAACAATGAACTCGGGTAGGAACCCGGGTACAATGGGCCTCTGGTGATGAGAGGCGATCACACTGGCCATGGTGGTAGGCTCGTTCACTTCGGCCCATTCGTGTAACTGCACCTCGATATCATGGCACGTTGCTCATGACGTTACAAACTGCTTTGTCCGTCCCAGACTCGATTACAGCCGAACAATTTTGCCTGGGTCGTAAAAAACACCAACAAACAAACAAACTTACCTTCTGTCCTTTGCTGAATTCATTTAGCTGCTCGGACGCCTTATCCCTGGTCGCCATGATTAAGAAGTGAAGAAACGCGCAGAACTTTCCTCTGACGTACAGCTTATTCAGGTCAAATTACCGGTTGCATAAACCAGGATCTGTTCGTTGAAGGCTTGTCGATGTTATGCAGGCTAAGCTACATGCATGGGTAGGAGAGTGTGACTTTACGGATACTGCATGGAGTCGGATAACGCTAGAGATATCTATATATATCTGTATCGAAAGTGCTCTGTCATTGGTGGACATTGTTCAAATGGAACTGCCCTACACAGTTGGGTTTTGCTTTCATGGAGAATCTGGCCTTACAGGCGTTCAATGCTGGCGATATTGCAAGTCACGACCAATACAAGATTTATTGTAGATCGTGACAATTATGCATCATAAAGGCGCTCAGCCAGCGGGTCAGAATTCGCAAAATGGAGTGTTGTATAAGGCAAAACAGGTCATTGCACCGATAAATTGTGAAGTTGAAGTTTTTATAGCCGTGCCTACCTCTGTTTTTGATAAAAATAATATTTTGTAATATTCAAAACTTGTATTATTATTATTTTCTTAATTGTTGACGTATGTATATGTATACTACAGGTTAAAATCTAAATGTTTATCATTTATGCGACGCCACACCCTTGAAAATATCGAGAGGCGTGATAGCAAATAATCGATGGCAAGTTCAAATATCAACAGTTATCAGCCATGCGACCATTTAACATAGCGCACAGAGTTTTCATAGAGCACGAGATACCTAAATAGTATACATTATTGTACGATAATATACCTTTTTGGGCCAGTTTCAACTATCAAAATGAGTGAGTGAGGGAGTTTTGGTTTTACGCCTCTTTTAGCAATATTCCAGCAATATCATGGCGGGGGACACAGAAATGGGCTTCATGTCGGGAATCGAACCCGGGTCTTTAAACACTAGGCGACCCGACCGCCCCTCAACTATCACAAACTTGCAAAGTTACTGTAGAATAGACTTCAATCTTGGTTGTGTTTTTATTAAGTTACAAGGGGGGGCACGGGTGGCCCAGTCGTCTCAGGCGCCGCGATTCGCTGTGCAGAGTTGCGTCACTTGGGCACCCAGAAACCTATGACTGTGGGTTCGAATCCCGGTTCGCCCCGATTATGTTTCTAGGTTTGTCAGCACAATAGCCATGCTCGTGGGTTTCACCGAAGTGGTAAACATCTGAGACCTGCATCACTTGGGGCTTTCCTCCCACATTAAGCTGACACGCCGTGATATAACTGGAATACTGTTAAAAGCGGCGTTGACCCAACTCACTCACTCACTTACTGAGGTAAGAGCGTACAAACCGGTGCGCACACTGTGGTATAGTTTGCATTCCGTTTGTTCACGTATATTTAAGAATTGCAGTTTGTGTGGATTCATTGGAGTATGAACCGTCATAGAAGGCCAAACAGTATGGACGTAATGTTCAGTTTTACATTTGTTCATTTTTAAATTGAATCAAATATTAATATACCCCTGAATTTAAGGATATAAGAACTATAAAGAACATCCCAATTTTGAAACGAAACAAATTTCTTTCACTAGTCTTAATCAGAGCTTGCAACGACGTTCAATGTAAAGGGCCTCATTTTGTTATACTTCAATGAACTCACACAAAGTGAAAGACAGTTTTTATCATTTTTATTTCACTATTTATTTACCCCGAAGGGGGTACTTCTAAACACAAATTTATTTGGTACGCGTGACTTCATGTTTACACTGACAGCCATACAACAACCATCTGAAGGAAGTCGTTCCTCAAAAGGAGAGTGAGTAAGTGAGTAAGTATGGTTTTACGCCGCTTTTAGCAATATTCCAGCAATATCACGGCGGGGGACACCACAAATGTGCTTCACACATTGTACCCATGTCGGGAATCGAACCCGGGTCTTCGGCGTGACGAGCGAACGCTTAAACCACTAGGCTACCCGACCGCCCCCTCAAAAGGAGAGGTGACATGAACGTATGTATGCTTACATTGTTCTACAGAGACATAAGTTGTAATTTGTTTACAGCAAATATATTCATATACTATTATGTATTGTAATATCCACATTAGATGAGAAGGGTCTGCTAAGAACCATCTCACTAAGTCAGTCACAATAAAAGCGCCGACACGATAAACGCGACGAGTGAGATTTCCGAACTCGCTATAAACCTGTGGCGATTACAGGTGTCACTTCGTCATCATTGATCAATTGGCCGATCGTTGATAGGTGGTTGTAAAGATGTGTCAAATAAATACAAAGGTAAATTCAAGGATTGCTGTAGATTGTATATGTCTGTCTAGACACGGATCGGGTGGATACCACTATAGTTTGGATGTGCATATGTTCGTTTTCTTCACTAGGATGGGTTGTAGCGAGGGTATTTGTGAACGACCATGCAGTCAGACCTTTCTCAATGGATACTAAAATGATGAATTGAAGATTAAAGGGCCTAAATGATCAGAAACAATTGTTCTGTATGTATTCCTACAAGGGAATTCCCAAAGGGTTTCCCAGGAATGTGGAAATAGTCCGTCAATGTTTACGTCATTTCAAGAATACAGGCTCGTGTAGAACGTATGAATGTCAAATATTGTGTCATTTATACGTTTATGAGCGTCAGTTTCGCGGTCATGTGACCGGCCTCTCGTCCAATGAAAAAGCCGTATATCGCGTAAACTTCACATTAAAAAATTGTAGCTCAATCAACGAAAACAAATCTTAATAATTAAATTAACAATATAACTTCACAGACCGCTATAGACAACGACCAGTGACGTGGGTCAGAGCACAAATACAACACAAGCCACGCCCATCCCATTATCAGCCAATAAGGAAACGGTTGTCCGGTAGAGAGCCTGGCCTATTTTTTCAGTTTGTGGGAACATGAACGCAAAAGTATTGCTTGGTTAGCCAAGCAAATGCCTTAGCTTCACTTGTGATTTACTTAGTGAATAATAGAAGTGAATTCTTTCAGATAATGATCTAAAGATGTCAACTAAAATTCTCTCAGGCGATTTCTTTTTCCATTCGTGTTGATCCAACACTGATTGTGCTAAAAGGGGCATGCGGGAGTATATCAAAAAGATGCATAACGTGACATCAGACAATATATAGAGTGAGTGAGGGAGTTGGGACCTGCGCTGCTATAGCAACACGCCCGCGGAAGGAGACACCAGTACTGGGTTTCACATTTGTAAGTGAGTGAGTGAGTTGGGTTTTACGCCGCTTTTAACAGTATTCCAGTTATATCGCGGCGTGTCAGCTTAATGTGGGAGGAAAGCCCCAAGTGATGCAGGTCTCAGACGTTTACCACTTCGGTGAAACCCACGAGCACGGCTATGGTGCTGACAAACCCAGAAACATAATCGGGGCGAACCGGGATTCGAACCCACAATTATAGGTTTCTGGGGTGCCCAAGTGACGCGACTCTGTACAGTGAATCGCGGCGCCTTAGACCACTGGGCCACACGTGCCCCCTTCACATTTGTACCAGTGTTGGGAATCGAACCCGCGACGCTTCATCCACTATGTTATCCCACACTGTGATACTGATCAGTACACTATGCAAGCGTGGGCTCTCTGCTATCAGACAGCAGGATCGTGACAAGTGCAGCTCAGAACTGCCTCGTCATTCGGGTTAAAGTGCAGCTCGTGCAGTCGCCGGGCGAGCTCCCGACCCAATAACGTCTTGTTATATAAGGGGCTGTACAGGTTCACGTGTGCTTAAACGTGATTTTGTGATATCGATAGTATCTCATCGTCATCTGGAAACAAAACTATGTAGAACTGAAATCAATCAATATCAGCATTACGTCCCGTATAAGGGTGAGATATACCAGCGTATTTAAAGCTTAAACTAATTCATGTATAGGTATGAACAATCTGAATTCACATTTGAATAGTTCAACAGGTTTACAGACCACTTTCCCTGACAACTGAGAGTATAAATTTGGGAACTATTCAAACCCTAGTTACTAGCTGCACGGACGCAGACACACACACACACACACACACACACACACACACACACACACACACACACACACACACATACTAACCACACACACACGCACGCACACACACACACAAACACGCACACAGACACACACACGCACGCACGCACACACGCACGCACGCACACACGCACACACACACACACACACACACTAACCACACACACTAACCACACACAAACCACCACACACACATTACGCTGTGATATACCTGCAATATTATTGAAAGCGGCGTTTCACTCACGTTAACGGGAAGATGGGCAAGTTACATGCATGGCAGTCGCAGCTAGGTTGATCAGGCATTCCAAACTCCCTCTTTTTGTTTGCTGACTCAAATGTCATGACATACTTAATTCAACCGGTTACTCTAATTGCACATACACGAAGCATCCTATTTACACAAGATGAGATGACAATATTTTCTGTTGACATTCTGCCAACAAATTCCGGTATACCCGCTATTACGGAAATTTGTTTTCCGGAACGCGTTGTCGACCTGATTGTGTGTGTATATGTATTGCTTGTGGGAATATATATATATTGTTCCTATTTTTACGATGCACAGTTTCTTTATATGGCTAAGTCATATAAATCCATATAAAGAAACTGTGCACCGTAAAAAATAGGGATACAAAATATGCAATGGGAATTTATTCGAAATAAATTATGTTTCACAATTTAAATTCACAAACGTGAACAGTAAAATGACTAATGCTGTATAGCCTTGCCGTCAGAATGCCAGTCTTACGTAGGGGTCAAACCTGAAAATCACAGGCTCAGTATCGAGTGTGGCCACCGGCTGCATCAACAACGACAATCGACGCCTTATGGATGACAAACGTCTGGCAGGAAAAGCTTGTTTGATGTCATCCCAGGTTCTGATCAGTTCTGTCCGCAGATCCTGAAGCGTTGCAGGCGGATTTGGTTGACGTCGAAGTCGAAGATCCATTTCGTCCCAGACTTGTTCAATCGGTGAAAGGGGTGAATTTCCTGGCCAGGGAAGATCGACCTGTTGTTGCTCGAGGAACTGCTGATTAATACGTGCTGTGGGTAGACGTGCGTTGTCCTGCTGTAGGATGTTAGCGGGGCCATGACATTGGATGAAAGGAAGAACAACTGTTCTTAAGATTCCATCTCCGTATCGAAAGGCGTTCAAGTTAGCATGAAGGAAAA